TAAATCAAGTTGACAGAGGAGGGTGATTTCGCAATATTAGAATTCTAAATGTGCAGTGTCTATTTGAGTGACAAACTCATGTCAAAATAAGGTTGCAACCCAATAAATTTTAATACATTCACATTTAGTCAAATTTGTATGTTTAAAAATTTCTGAAGCATGAAGCTTTTTTTTTCTGGTTTTAGTTGATGCTCTCGTGTTGAGTCATTCTTTCCACAATTATTACATTATTATTACAAGCATTACATTTGAAAAGAATATCTAAACCTGTAATCTAATTGGGCATATGTTTAATTAAGGGTTTTTTTTGTTTTGTTTTGTTTCCTTTAATTTAAATTTTTAATTTCCTTTAATCGGTGGCGATTGATACCCCTAGACTTATGGTCATGGGGGACTTCAACCTGCCATCCGTCGGTGAGGTGTCTGAGGTGGCTCAGGAGTTCATGGCTTCCATGACGGCCATGGACCTGACCCAGTTAGTTCATGGCCCTACTCACACGGGGGGAAACACGCTGGACCTGGTTTTTGTCTCTGGTCAGTGGCTGAGTGGTCTCGAGATAGGGGATATAGCGATCGAGCCCTTGTCATGGTCAGATCACTCCCTCCTTCGCTTTGACCTTCGACCCGCCACACCCCGCCGCAGGGAGGCGGAACCAATGAGGTGGTTCCGCCCCAGGCGCCTGATGGACCCGGATAGGTTCCAGACGGAGCTTGGGCCATTTCCTGAGGCTCTGGCACACGGCTCGACTGAAGACCTAGTGGCTGTCTGGGATAGGGCGGCCGCTGGAGCTTTGGACCGGGTCGTGCCTTTGCGGCCTCTGACCCGGCGTCGATCTCACCTGGCTCCCTGGTTCACCGAGGAGCTGAGGGAGATGAAACGCCGGAAAAGATGCCTGGAGAGCAGTTGGAGGGCCAGCCGTTCTGAATCTGACCGAACACTGGTAAGGTCTCATATTAAGACCTACCTGGTGGCAATAAAAGCGGCAAAGTGTAACTATTTTTCCGCTCTTATTGCGTCATCAGATAATCGCCCGGCCGCCCTGTTTAGGGTGACCCGCTCCCTGCTCCACCAGGAAGCGCGGAAGGACCCCTTGGAGGGTAGAGCCGAGGACTTTGTACAATATCTGTATGACAAAATCGCTCAGATTCGGGAAAATTTGGACTCTGACTGGGTAGATTCGGGAGGGAGGATGGAGGCAAGTCTTGAGAATATTATCTGGGAAGGGTTTGATTCTGTGACTCTGGAAAACGTGGACAAGATACTGGGCAGACTAAGCGCGGCCACATGTTTATTGGACCCGTGTCCCTCCTGGCTGGTGCTGGCCTCTCGGGAGGTTACACGAGGCTGGCTCCAGGGGATTATAAATGCTTCCTTGAGAGAGGGTGTCTTCCCTGCTGCCTTGAAGGAGGCGGTGGTGAGGCCTCTCCTCAAGAAGCCTTCTCTGGACCCAGCAGTGTTGGCTAATTACCGTCCAGTCTCCAACCTTCGCTTCATTGCGAAGGTTGTTGAGAGTGTGGTAGCGCGACAGCTTCCTCAGTACTTGGATGAATCGGCTTATCTAGATCCGTTCCAGTCGGGCTTCAGGCCTGGATACAGCACGGAAACGGCATTGATCGCATTGGTAGATGATCTCTGGAGGGCCCGGGACAGGGGTTGCTCCTCTATCCTGGTCCTATTAGACCTCTCAGCAGCTTTTGATACCATCGACCATGGTATCATGCTGCACCGGTTGGAAGAGTTAGGGGTGGGAGGCACCGTGTTGCGGTGGTTCTCCTCCTTTCTATCTGATCGGTCGCAGTCTGTGTTGACAGGGGGGCAGAGGTCGACCCCGAGGCCCCTTGTATGTGGGGTGCCACAGGGGTCGGTTCTCTCACCCCTTCTGTTCAACATTTATGTGAAGCCGCTGGGTGAGATCATCCGTGGTCTTGGGGTGAAGTATCATCAGTATGCTGATGATACTCAGCTATACATCTCCACCCCGGACCACCCCAATGATGCCCTTAAAGTGATGTCCCAGTGCCTGGAGGCTGTACGGATCTGGATGGGGAGGAACAGACTCAGGCTCAACCCATCCAAGACCGAGTGGCTGTGGTTTCCGACGTCCCGATATAGTCAATTGGTGCCATCACTGACTATTGGGGATGAGTCATTGCCCCCCACGGAGAGGGTTCGCAACTTAGGCGTCCTCTTGGACTCACGGCTGTCTTTAGAAGAACACTTGACGGCTGTGGCCGGGAGGTCTTTTTATCAGGTTCGCCTGATTCGCCAGTTGCGTCCCTTTCTGGATCGGGACTCGTTAAAAACGGTCACTCATGCCCTCGTCACTTCACGCCTGGACTACTGTAATGCTCTCTACATGGGGCTCCCCTTGAAGAGCACCCGGAGGCTCCAGCTGGTCCAGAATGCGGCCGCGCGGGTAGTTATGGGAGCAGCATGGCGCTCCCATGTGGCTTCCCTCCTGCGCGAGCTGCACTGGCTCCCTGTGGTCTTCCGGGTGCGCTTCAAGGTCTTAGTTACCACCTTTAGAGCGCTCCATGGCTTAGGACCAGGGTACTTACGAGACCGCCTTCTGCCACCAATAGCCTCTCACCGCCCAGTACGCTCCCATAGAGAGGGGCTTCTCAGGGTGCCGTCAGCCAAACAATGTCGACTGGCGGCCCCCAGGGGGAGAGCCTTTTCTGTGAGGGCACCCACCATCTGGAACGAGCTCCCCCCAGAGATACAGAAGATTCCGGATCTGCGCACTTTCCGCCGTGCCCTCAAAACATTCCTGTTTCAGCAGGCCGGCCTGGCCTAACTTTCCCTTTATATTGCTTTTTGATTTTATTTTAAACTAGGATGTCTTGAATTATCTAGGACCAGAATGTTTAGTATATTTTAATTGGTTTTTTATTATTAACGTTTGTATTACATGTATTTTTATCGTTCGCTGTTCACCGCCCTGAGTCCCTTAGGAATAGGGCGGTATATAAATTTAATAAATAAATAAATAAATAAATAAATAAATTTATATGCCGCCCTTCTCCGGAGACTCAGGGCGGCTTACAATGCGTTAAGCAATAGCCTTCATACTTTTGTATATTTATACAAAGTCAGCTTATTGCCCCCACAATCTGGGTCCTGATTTCACCTACCTTTGAAAGGATGGAAGGCTAAGTCAACCTTGAGCCTAGGGACTTTTTAACTTGCAGTAATTGCAGGCAGCAAATGTTAATAACAGTGCTTTAGTCCACTGTACTACAGGCTCTTCCCAGTTGTAGCTGTTGGCCTTCTAATTGTTGCAGCTTCCAGCATTCCTCACAAATTGCAGCTGATGAATACTTTTCATTGGGTAGACCGGGCTGAAGTGACATGGGCCGCCCCTTTACATTTTCTAGGACGGCCCCCTGGACCGGATCCGACCACATCGCAGGCTTTGTGTTTGAGACCCCTCCTTTGGAGGGCGATAGGTAGAGAAGTATCTGGCTTTAAGGTATAGAAAAATAAACTGGCCATCCTCTCACTTCTAGTTGTTTAAAGCAAAATTGGCTTGTTCCTGTATTTCCAGACCCAATTGCCATTATTTATATCTTGTATAGATACTTAGACTCCCCTCCCTCTGAATTTCATCACACTTTGAAATTTGAGTCTTGCTTATAAAACTCAGGCACCCAAGTTGGCCTAGAGCTGGAAAGAACCATGCAAAGTGTCTTTTTTTTCACACACACACCCCCAAGAACTTCAGGCAAAGCACAATGCATTTTATTCAGAATGAAACCTTACACTCAATATATATGATGAATGAAAAAGCAACAAATCAAATAATAAAGAGATTTTTTTATTAGATTTGACAAAACACAAGACGCCCTTAAGATATGTTGCATCTTCTACTTTCGCACCTGGATTTGTTTCTCAATACTTGCAACTTTAATCAGGGACTTCTGAATAAGCCCTGTTGTTTGATTGCTCCTGAGAGGGCTAGTTTTTGCACATCAAAGGAATCCATTTTGGCTCAGGAAAACTTCAAAAGGCGGCATGGATGCCATGCTAAAATGCTGATGTCACCTTTATTAAAACGCTAATAACGAAGCCTAAAATTCTGTATAACATGGGGAACTGAAGAGAAGTAAAAACGGAGGCATTCTTCTACTTGGCAATTTGTAACTAATAACATTCCAATTTGCCTTCCAGAAGGAAATTTAATTGCAAACTATCTGTCCACACATATGAACATAGTAAGCACACACCCACATCCACGATACTAATCAGATCCACATCTCTCTTACATTCAGCAGTGGTTTTGCATTAAGCAACTATGATGGACCTCTTTAGATGTCTGTGAACAGTGGTATCCTTATGGGGGTGGCCCAAACTGGCAAGATGGCACTCACTAATGAGCAGGGATGTCCAACCTTGGCATCTTTTGGAAATGTGGACTTCAACTTCCAGAATTCCCACCCTGGCTGGGGAATTCTGAGAGTTGGAAGTCCACAAGTCTTAAAAGTTGCCAAGTTTGAACACTTCTGAATTAGAATATAGCTCAGGGGTCAGCAACCTGTGGCTCTGGAGCCGCATGTGGCTCTTTCACCCCTCTGCTGCGGCTCCCTGTCACTCAAAATATGCGTCACAACAGGGAATGTGTGACACCCGCCAGCACGCGATTTATTGAGCTTTTCGACTCCCAGTAGGCCAACCATGGATAAATCCAAGAAGAGTTTCAGAAGAAAACGTTATGCCTACAAATTAAGCATCGTGGGAAGAGTCTTGATTTTCACCACTATGCTGGCTGGAGAATTCTGGGAGTTGAAGTCCACAAGTCTTAAAGCGGCCAAGTTTGAAGACCTCTGCGCCTACTGCTTGGAATAAACTCGCGCGAGCATGCCGGGAATTGTAGTATCGCTGCAAGGACCCCCCCCCGCGCAGGCGTAGTTCAACAACCCCGTCTTCCGCCTCACTCTCGCGCAGACTCCCGGCGTCCCTCGCAGGCGGTTTACCTGTCGCCAGCTGCATGCTGGGAGTCGTAGTCCTTGCCCTCAGGAAAGCGACAAGGCGGAGGTAGGCAGGACGGCTTCCTTCTCCCAGAGTTCCTCTTCCCGGCCGGGCGAGACGGCGGCGGCGGCGGCAAAATGGCACGTCAGGGCAGCCGAGGAGGCTCCGAGAGCAAGAAAATGGTAATGGTCGCTGGCGGGGCGGGAGGAGAACGAAGGAAGGCGGGCGTTGCGGGCCTTGAAGGAGGGGAAATGCTATGTTCGTAATGGCCACCGTGAATAGATGCTGCACCTCAGGGTTTCCCTGATAATGTTGGTGCCTTTGCCGGGCGAAAATTAAAAAAAAAGCAGACACGTAAAAAGAGGTGGTGGGGATGATGGCTGACATGCCGGGCCGCCCCCGAAGAAGCCCACTGGGCGCTAAAAAGTGAGAAAGGGACGTTAATTAACTAAGTGGAGGAAAACATACCTGGTCAAGAGGAGAAATAACAAGCTTTGTGTAACCATCATATTGTCCTGTGTAGTTGTATTGTTTAATAATAGTGCCCTGTATGATGTATTATGTTATATTATCCCTTATATATAATATTGTCCTACACACAAACACACACACACACACACACACACACACAAAACATTCATCATAGAGGATTGACATTATATATAATACTGTACACACACAGACACACACTAAACATTCATAGAGAATTGGCATTATATATAATATTGTCCTATGCGCATCAGGGTGGATTTGATTTAAATCACAATTTAAATCATGATTTAAATCACTAGTAAAAAGGCTTGATTTAAATCAACTCGATTTAAATCATAATTTTTAAAGAGCAACTGTCATCTCTGCTACTCCTTTGACCCGCTGTTGACTCACCGATAGTCCCAGTGTTGCAGAATATACAGCCTCATGCTACATAACTAAGCTCCATTTCATGCTGAATAAACTAAATTATTTATGTATCTTAAATAGAAAACTACTTTACGATAGATTTTTACCCCAAAAGTTTTTTATTAAAATAAATTCGATAAAAATCAAAAAAATCCGATTTAAATCAAAAAAATCTGATTTTTTTTATTTTTTTAAAAAAATCATTTTTATCCACCCTGATGCACATGCACACACATACACACACACACACACAACACATCATAGACGATTGACATTATATATAATATTGTCTACATATACACGCACACACTCTAAACATTCATCATAGAGGATTGACATGCCGTATTAATATGTAGTTACAAATACGTAATAATATTATCCTATATGATATTGTCCTTTATGATACTATCCTGTTACAAACATATAAAAATAATACATTTTGCATTTTTCCTCTTGATCATCCCCTATGCCTTTTCTTATTTATGGAATTGGGGTCCCTTTCCTATTTTTAATTACAATTATTTTTGTTATCACTTATTAATGGATGCATATGAAATATTAATATTGTATACCTTTCAATATCTAGGTAATTAGGGTATTTTATTTATTAATTGTATTATTTATTAAATTTATATGCCCTCCCCCTCAATCTCAACAGTTCTGGATCTCACAAAAAATAAAAAACCAAGCAAACAGATTACAATAAAATCGAACTAAAAATTACACTAGGAAACTTAGTGACTTGATTTACAGTTCGAAATGTTGGTTACAGTTCGAAATGTTGATTAAAGTAATAGGCAAATTTCCCTAACTTTTCTGATCATTTTCATAATAGTGAAAAGATGAACAGTCTGAATGCTTCTGAAATACTTTTAAAATTATAAAATATAAAATGTTACAAAATAAAACAGTCACCAGATATATTAAATCTGAAAGAAAATGTTGGCAGGATGTATGACTGCATAAAATAAATGTTTTTTATGAGCCTCCGAAGGGTTAGTACCCTACTTGGGTTAGTGTACCTACTTATTAATTAATCATATGTATAGACAGCTAAATCCTTTAGGACTCTTGACAGTTTACAAGACACAATGCACAAGGAACAATAAGTATGAAAACATAGAATACAATAAATTTTAAAAAACCAAACTGTAATCAAACTAAGATGAAGTCAGGTGTCAAATGCCATCTGGATCAGGGGTCAAAAGAGTGATCAAAGTGCTTGAGATATGGAAGCTTCCCATATCGAAAAACTACAATACTGGGGAAGTTTTAACATACTGTAGAATGAAGACAAGTCGAAGTAGACCTTGTAGACGAATAAAAAGTTTTGCTTGGTGTAGCAGATGTAGACCAAGATACGTTTTTCTCTCTTACAGCATTAGAAACCAGAAATTCAGGACCAGTAAAAGGAAACACTTCTATACGTAATGCATAGTTAGGCCATCAGATATGATAGTGGACACCAATTCAGATTGTTTTAGACATATGCATTGCAGAATTAGGCAATGAATAGTGTCCAGTCTTATGGACTGGGTAGTGCCTCCTGAATCCTAGCAATATATTTAAAATCTAGGAGCTGAGGAGCCATATTGGAATGGGGCTGTTCCTTTCTGTCCATGCCTGTGTGTTTCATGAATGCATTTGGTCAGCCACTGTGTCGTGTGAAATGCTGGACTGGATGGACAATTGGCCAGATCCTACATAGTCATTGTTATGTTCATATCTCAGTTTAAGACCTGAAGTTGCCACAACACAAATGTTGAAGGGCCCACTTGGATTTCATATTTTTGTAGGGTGATTGAACAGGGACTTTTAAAAACTACTTTTCCCAAATCGCATAATTTATTGGGTTAGTTTGGGCCTGGTGGGTTCTTCTTCCTTTGCATGGATATGGATGAGGGAGGGAGGGTTGTTGAACCTAGTGGATTCCAGAAAGAGAACTGATGGATTTGGTGGATTCTGGGATACTCTGGGAGATTTCCTTCTAGTGAGGTGGGCAATCCTGCCAGTTGGGATCATTCTAGTTCTTTAACATTAAGATGTGATGCTGATTTTATTGACACCTCTCTTGACCTGAGGTGCATTTTTATAAAAATCTAAGTATTTCTTTACTTCAACAATAATGGAATTAGGGCATATAAGAATCAACCAGATCTCTCAAGCATGTGTAACCTGCTTCCTTTGCTTCCTTTGCTACTAATTATGACAGATTTTCATCATGTTGGAAAATGGTTTCAGCGTGTCTAATTCAAAGTCCAAATTGTTTAGATTTTTATTATCCTAGAAAATAGGCCATGGAATAACAGATTTAATTTACAGGAAAGTAGATTGCAACTGAATGCAGTGAAGAACTTTCTAACAGTAGGAACAGTTTCACCATGGAACCAATAACGTCGTACAAGAGTGAGCTTCTCTTTGTTTGATATGTTCAAATCCAGGTCAAATGCTTTGATTTTGATTCCTGTAATGAACAAACATCAGTAGCCTAAATGGCAGCTTCTAAATCAATGCCACCATTTGGTTTTACTCCAGAACAGTGAACCTTTGTGGATATTAAACACAATTTCTCTCTTTTTAATAGCTATAGATAGGCAAAATGTTCAGAAATGAACTGTTAGTTGTTGAGCATTCTCCATTCTGTCATGTACTGTTTTTTTCCATCTGCCTTGTCAATGGTTATTAAAATATGTGTTGTTACTAACCCTTCCTTTATTTTTGTTTCTTTTTCCACTCTGCAATTATCAGCTAGGTTACAGGAATCTTCAGGCTCCCTTTCCAAGCTTTCTAAATCTACAAAACAGCTTTATGTAGCTTTATAATGCTAATTCTATAAAGCAGCTTTGGACAGTCTGGATCTTCTATTAACCTTCAACTCTGTATCCTCTGCTGGCTGATGGCTATGGTGTCTCTGGATCCATTTGATTCCAGAATTCCAAACCATAGCTTACAGAGGATCTTGCTTTTTCCTCCCCTCTCACTATAATAAAAGCAGTATTGTGGTGCAAGCTCTACCACAGTGGGATATTGTGACATATGCAAAAAAAAAAAAAGAGGTGTGTGTGAATGAGGCTTCTACCTTGCACTACTTTTTTCAGCCCAAATCCCCTTTACTGCCTTGACGGATGACATTGGTTGCAGAATACCTAAAACCATGCAAAACCCAACCACTCAGAAAAAGCAGTGTGGACTGTTGGATTGCTGCCCTCAATATTGCTGCTCTGTAGAAATAGCATCATGTTGAATGAACCTTAACTTCACACATGACTTGATTGTCTCTTCCGTGTTTTGGCTTTGTGTGAGCATGTGAGAATGTGGTGTGATTTCTATTGTCTCACTAAACTCTGATGTCTTTTTTTTTTCTTCTCCCTTTCTGCTTGCCTGCTGCTTTCATTCTGTAGTATTGGTATTTGCCATTCATTTCACCTTCTGCATCTATGCATCTCATGGTAGGTTTTAGGTTTCTTAATCTGAGACTAGACATTTCTGCTGTATAAAATGAGATTTTAATAAAGTCTTAAGCAGGATTTGTTAATATATATATATATATCCGTACCTTTTAAAACCTTGACATTTTCAGCTCTTAATAGGAAGGCATTTGTGTAGCCAATAACTGACGTATTGTTTTATTCAACTTTAAGTTTTAAGGATGGGTGGAAGATACAGCAAGTATCTTTTTTTGTCTTTGTTGATGGTGTGTACATTTCTGCTGAAAGTTTATTAGCTTTGTGGTTCCTTTAAGTTTTTAAGTGGAATATTATTGAAACAATGTAAGTTAAAAAAGTGTTCTAATAAGGATTGGACACTTGGGACCTGTCAAATGAAATGTCTTTCTATTTTTTGCAAGTGACCGTTTTCATCTTGAAATCAAGGTATTCAATTTTGTGAAATTGTTTGCTCTGAAAAGTTTCCGCTGATCCAATGTTTGAGCCAAACTATTGATTAGGTCTGGCCACAGGGAGCATGTGACTCCATTGTTCCAATAGCTTCATTGTCTCTTTTATGGAAGTATCACTTGTGTGCCAAACTCTATCCTCATTCAAGCAAGTATTGATTAATGAACACAGGAGCAGTTATTATGCCAAGAATATTAAGGATTGGGTTAGAATTGATGGGCTATCTGTTGGTAGCCATCTTCAAGTCATAGCAGAATCACTGATGCTAAGGAAAAACAGAAGTCTCTCCCCGTTTTCTATTTCTTCTTCATATCTTTAGGACAGAGCTGTTGTATTTATTCTTCTCACCCTCGTTCAAAACGTATGGCCCACGCAGTATTCATACTCTTCACTATTCTGGTGAAGCAAGTCTTCTTGTTCATTTTTTTTTCTTGTGACAGACTAAGCTGTGCCTGGGTCAGCCCCTAAATATTTGCACCCTTTTTTGTCTGGTGTATGCTAAATATGTTATGAATTTGTCTAGAGCTCGGAGCTCTTCACTTTGACGTATGGGGCTTTGGTCACTCAGCTGTGTAAGGACTACGAGAATGATGAAGATGTCAACAAGCAGCTTGACAAAATGTAAGTAACAGAAACAACGTGGGTGTTCTCAGGTTAGAAATATCAGAAGCCCCTTTTCCATGGGTTATTCGCTTGCAGAATAAATCTAATTTTATCCAATCCTTGGAGTTTGGAAAAATAAATGAGCATGGATTTCCTTTCTAAAGCCTCAGGGTATTTCCCTCCAGTTTGACCTGCTTGGTGTGATCACAGTTTCATGGCATCTTGCTTTTGGCTGCTTTAATAGGGGCTACAACATAGGTGTTCGACTTGTGGAAGACTTTCTAGCACGATCCAATGTTGGGAGATGCCATGACTTTCGAGAAACGGCAGATGTAATTGCAAAGGTGATGCTTCTTTTTGATTATTCGGCTTTGTTTCTGCATGTTTGTTGTTTGCTTGTGTTGCTGTTAAATAATCTTACTTTCTTTGAACTTATAGCTATGCATTAGGAACACAATTTTCTCAGCACAAAACAAATTTCACTCTTTTAGTTTATTATTATTGTTTTACTTCTGTTTTATTTAAAAATAGAGACAATTCCAGAAAACAGCTGAGAACAAGGCTAGTTTTTAGCTGTTTTCTGGAATTGTCCCTACCTTTAAATAAGTGATTAAATAATAATAAAAAACTAAAAGTGTTTTTATTATCAAAGCTGGATGTCTTGGCTTTTTACCAAGAAGCTAAGTAAGATGAGATAATTTTGTACCCTGTTTCCCCCAAAATAAGACATCCCCTGATAATAAGCCCAATCGGGCTTTTGAGCGCATGGCAATAAGGCTGAGTGCTTATTTTAGGATTCAAAAAAATATAAGACAGGTTCTTATTTTCGGGGAAACATGGTAACAGGAAAAAAGGGAATCAGAAAGACTTTTCTCCTATTCAATAATGTAAGGCAATGGTCTAAATATTACCACTGTTTTCAGAAGGGGGAGGCATCAGACATAATGCAGAGAATTACTTATCAAAATCAGTATTGTCTTGTCTAATCTGGTGTGTGGAAAAGAGTTACTTAAGTATGTTACATTGAAGAATTGCTGGGGTTTGTTATGTGGTTGTTTGTTGGTTGATGTGTAAAAAATAGTGGCTTGCTAAATCTTTCACTCTTTGAACCCAGCTCTTCTCTCATATCTGTTTCACTTGATAGGTAGCATTTAAAATGTACTTGGGTATCACACCAAGCATCACAAACTGGAGTCCGGCAGGCGACGAATTCTCCCTTATCTTGGAAAACAATCCACTGGTGGATTTTGTGGAATTACCAGACAACCATTCCTCTCTTATTTACTCTAACCTCTTATGTGGGGTGCTCCGGGGAGCCCTGGAAATGGTGAGACGTAGTGGAGGCCAGTTGAACCAATGGCCCTGGTGGCTGCTTTTAATGAAATGCATAACTACGAGGCTGCATGTTTTCTGCATCCATGAAAAGTTCAAAATAAATTGTGGACGTTAAGTACATGGGTTTATGTTAAAAAGTATCAGCAGTATGTTAAAGTAATGGATAGTATTCATTTGGTAATATTAGATTTCCATTAGGTCTGTGAGTCTGAGAACATCAATTGAAACAATTCAAATATTTTCCAACTTTTCCATCTTAAAAAAAATTCTCTAAAATTTCTTCCATACATTCTGGTGCACTTGTGTTAATAAAAAAGTTAGTTTGCAGGCTGTTACGCTGTAGTATTGTGAAGGCCAAAATAGTGTTCTCATTTATCAGGACTGCTGGATCAGCTCTTTGTATTGCATTTATGGGCCATTTTTTTTTAAGGATTCTAAGTAGCTCACAGTCAGACCCTACGGTATCAATGAAGATGACTTTGGAACCTTTCATCATATGTCCTAAACAATTTGTGAGTCCATCAAGGGGGTTCCAAAACCCCCAGTACAAAGGGGGGATCACATTGCTTACAAGACAGGAAGGTCGACAGGAAGGTGCAACAAAGGCTGTAATGTGGGAGAAAGGTGACTTTTCATAAATAATGGGATGTATTTTGGCATGAATACCCTTCTTTTTCAAAGGGGTCTGGCACTTCAGGGAGCTGTTGTAGGGAAATATCTCAAAAGTGTGGACTTTCCTCTCTTTCATCATAGGTACAGATGGCTGTGGATGTCAGATTTCTCTTGGACACCTTGAAAGGGGATGGAGTCACAGAAATAAGGATGAAGTTTATCAGGCGGATCGAAGACAATCTCCCAGTTGGAGAGGAGTGAGTCTTGAGCAGCTTTCCTATTGGACTGGAAGGGATGAAGTCACTGAACCGGAGCTTCATTCGCATATAGTACCTTGTGTACTTTGAGACACTGACTGGTTAAGACGTCAATTCATTTGAAATAGTCTGTTTTATTTCCACAGATTTCTATTAAAAGCTTTTGTAGGATGTAGAACTCTTTTCATATTCATCAGAAACACAAGGCACCCTTTCCTTGTTACCACGCTTAGCTCCATGCAAAAATACAGGATATTAAAACTCTAATTTTGAACTGGAATAATTCCAGATGCCACTTTCGTTCTGCAGTATGTGAAGAATTCCGGCATTATGTCCTCTGTTCATGTTGGTCAGTTTTTCTTCATGGGGAAGCCATTCCTGATAGCACAGAATGCATTCTATGATTTGAAAGAATTGAGAGCTCCTAATGGATTTGGACTTGTCCTTTTAGTTTTGCCATTCAACAAAACAATTAAAATTCATGTTGAATCAAGAGCTGGATCCATTTTGACAGTCCTGAAGGAAGTGTGTCGTTGAAACTCAACAGAATCCCAGTTGGTTGGGCGTTTCCAATTTCGTCTTTGTCTTCCTAGTTGGTTGGCCGAAATAGTTTTAATGAACCAATGATGTAGGGCTCAAGTTTCAAATGTTTATATAATGTTGGAAAAATGATATTCACTCTGAGGGCCTCTTCTTTACCTCATGTTTGATTTCGGTAACTAATTGAAGAGTTGTTCACACCAGTTTTGTTTTCTAAAAGTTTTAGGCAAAGCACGTTTCAAAAATGTTGCAGTTGGGCATCCATGCTGAGAGGACAGAAATGATAGTAGCATGTTTCATGTGCATTCAAGTTTTTCTTAAGAAAAAGGGGTCTCAAGATTGCAGACACAAGGGTATAAACAGCCTTGTGTGGTAGGTTGATCAGTGCACCAAATGCTGGATGATTGAAAGGAATTTGAAGAGTATCTTAGGAGAGCTTAACAGTGAATATTCACTGAGTTTGTCATTGTGTGTATTTTATAAGGTTCTAAGTTTCCTATTGAGCAGAAGAGCCATTGTTGCATTTCGTGGACAAATTTGTACTAAACAGCGAAAATCCTTTGAATTGAGGATCCCACGGAGAATGTTTGCATTAAACATAAAAATGCCTGCCACACTTAAAAGAGGCACAAGAGGCTTCTAGTGATCGCTCTCTTCTTAAAGCATAATGGAATCCATTACCCCATGCTGATGTTGGTGAAAAGATTGCAGTATTCATTCGTTAAGGAAATTAATTGGTGGTTGGGTGGCTTTATGATTTATTTGTGTGGGTATCAACTGAACGGTATTTTAAAAGTTGGCAAAGGGAACCGTAATTATTTGATGACTTGGTCTTGTAAATAATGCTCTGGGTAATATGCACAATGGGAGAAGGAAATGGCTTACCTAATTGCAAGAAAATGAAAACCAAACAGATGCTTTCTCAAGACAGTGGGGCCATTTTTAAGGGTATCTTGGTCACATTTTCCCAGCGCTCTTCTATAATTTTTCTCAGCTGCTTTGCAGAAGTGTAGAGGCAATATTTTTTTTGCATCACGAAGGATTAAAAATTTGAGCATACCTGTTTCGGAGTAATTCGTTCTGACCGTAGGAGGAATCTAGCCCTGAGAAAATCATTTTTGTTCCTTCTGTAATTTTTGATAGTTTTAAAAAATTACGCTGATCTAGAGCTGATTGGTGAATATTGATTAGTTAGATGCAATTTACACCTTTTTATTTGTATATGGGGTATGTCTTAATGTGTTCCATTTTTGAAGGTATTGTTTTGAAGCTCTTACATTAAAGACACTCTTAAATTAAGGTATATGGCAGTAGACTCATAGTTAATTTTACTAAATTTTATCCTACTTTCGCTCTCCTCTCTTTTTCCACACTTCAGCAACATAGATTTTTGATTAATTGTATTTCTATGGCCATCTATCTCACAAGGAATAACTGGATGGTGAACAGCAATCAAATAAAATAACTATATAAAAATATAAATCATTATTAAAATTAAATATTAAAAGTTAAAAAATACAACTACAAAACATGGAGAGAGTAAATATATCAGCCACATTAGTGGAGCCATCCTAGATTGTTACTGGTTCTCTTGGACCCCCAAGCCTACTGACATAACAGACTTAAGGATCTTCCAGAATGCTAAAAGGGATGGAGCTAAGGGATAAATTCAGGGATTGGAGAATATTCCAGCAGGGCAGATGTCATGACAGAGAAGATCCCACTCCTGTAAATCTCTAGCATGGGCGTGGGCAAATACGGCTCCTTTATGACTTCAACTCTCAGAATTCTTCAGCCAGCCATATGAGTGGGAGTTGAAATCCACAGGTCATAAAGGGGCCTTAGTTGCCCACCTCTGCTCTAGCAGATGGTACCTGCTGCGTGCCTTCTCTGTTGGGTCTAATGGGATGGGCTGATATAATTGGAGACGGTCTCATACCATGAAGGGCTTTAAAAGTTAAAACCAGTGCCATGAATTGGTTGCAGAAACAATCCGGCAGCCAATGCATATCACGCTGTTCTGGGGCCACACATAATTGCCACGCTTCTGCATTCTGCACAGTGGAAGCTTCTGAATACTGCCTTCTGGATGAGGGCAGCCTCATGTAGAGTGCATTATGATAGTCCGATCTGGAGGTGATTATACAGAAGTCACTGTGAGCATCTAGGAACAGGCACAATTGGCAGCCAATACAAAGCTGTGTAAAGCAGTGCCCTTTCCCCCAAACGTTTTAAGCACCAGGGACCGGTTATATGGGGGGGGGGATTTCCACAAACCGGATGTGTGCAGTTTCACACACTACCTAGATCCTGCACATGTGCAGATGAAGCTTCGCTTGCCTGGCCTGATTCCTAATGGGCTGCGGACTGGTACTGATCTGTAGATTTGGGATTGGGGACTCCTGGTGTAAAGCCCCTCCTAACCGCAACCAGGTTCTGACAGGTTCTGGAGAACTGGTAGCGGAAATTTTGAGTAGTTCGGAGAACTGGCAAATACCACCTCTGGCTGGCCCCAGAGTGGGGTGGGAATGGAGATTTTGCAATGTCCTTCCCCCAGGAGTGGGGATGGAATGGAAATTTTGCAATATCCTTCCCCTGCCACGCCCACCAAGCCACATCACACCCACCAAGCCATGCCCACAGAACCGGTAGTAAAAAAATTTGGATTTCACCACTGACCACAACTGCTACTTCTGCTGTTCGAGGTCCACCAGGTCTCTGCAACCCCATCCAGCATGAAAGATTGAATAGTCCTAGAAGCAGTAGACTCCAAAACCCAAAGCTATTCAATCTTGCCATGGTTCAACCGAAGTCTGTTGTTCCCTATCCAGACACTCATAGCTTCCAGTCCATAGGATAAGACATTCATGGCATCACTTAATTTGCATGGGGCACTGTTACATAATTGGGTGTCATCAAGTGTCCTGATGATACCTCACCCCATGGCAACAGATGGACTCACCCAGAGCCTCATAGAGATAATACAAAGGAGAGGAGAGCACCAAACTCTGTGCCACCCCATAAAGTAGGGGCCAAGAGCAGGACCTCTCCTCTCCAACCACCACTGATGAAATCAACCCCAGAGAAAGGAGGCAAATCAGCACATCCCCATGTCATCTACTCCCAATCCTCTGAGCCGATCCAGAAGGACACCATGGTCAACAATATTGAAAACCATCAAGAGGTCAAGTAGGGCAAGGATCGATGCACTACCGCCATCACGCTCACTACAGAGATCTTCCAAAAGTACCACTAATGCTGTTTCTGTCCCACAGCTATGCCTGAATCCTGGCTGAAAAGATTCCAGATAATCTGCTTCCTCCAAGGGCTGTCCTTTGAAACTGTCACCCAACCACTTTCTCAGACGGATTGAAGCCTCCAAGACCATAAGACGGGGGAATTCCACTGCCAGTGCAGAAATGGAGCTCAGGCAGGGAGGTTGTGTGTGGCAGGGAAGCTGGTACAATGGCAACAATCTCAACTGATCCCTAGAGGCCAACTTAATGAACAAGATCCCACATCCAGTGACCTGTGGAGAGCGTCCCTGGAAGACATAAAAGATTGCTGGATTGTTGTGGTCCGCCAGCAACCTGCGGACCTGGCCACGGAGTCAAGACAGTGAGGAGGCTGGGGAGGAACCTGGGCCAGTCCTGGAGTCTGGGGAAGGCCCGGACAAGGGCTCTGCATCGGAGGCAGAGATGGGGCCAGGGCCATCTGGGAGCGATGCACGGACTCCGGAGCCTCCAAAGGCAGACAGCAGAGAGGCAGAGGAACAGGAGGAGCCTGTTCCTAGTGCGCGCATGCGCAGAGCTGCCAGAAGGCAAGAGCAGCTGAAGAAAAAAGGACAACTCGGGAGTAAGGTCAGAAGATGATTGGCCCCTCCCATAAGGCTTAAAAGAGCACCAACAAACCGTTGGGTTCTCTGCAGAAAAGCAACGTTGATTCCTGTGCTTCTTGTCTCTCTTGTCCCTTGTGGGGGGGGGGGTTTGCCAAGAAAAGCCTTTGGCTAGTTGCCAAAGACAGCAAAGGTTGGTGATAAGGTCGGACTGGTTATTAAGAATTTTGTTTTGGACTAAGATGAGAATGAATTAATTCTCAGCTGTTTTAATAAAATAAGGTTGTTGAGGACTGAATTGTGTTTGGTAATCACTGCTTGGGCCTTGGTCACAACATGGATGATGATCATCACACTGGCACACCTACCTTAGTCTTGGATCATGCCATACCCGAAACCCAACTGGGCACGTCTCTGAAAGGGCCACCAGAACCACCCTCCTGGATCCAGCCAGGTCTTGGCAACGCATGTCAGGTTGGCATTAGATTGCACACAAAGGAGGCTTTATTACAGACTGACCTGGCATTTAAAAGCAGCATCAGGAAACCAGGACCCCTGGAGTTCTGTTGATTGGGTACAAGGACTGAACAAGGACCTGGGGGGCGTGGGGGGGTTGAGAAACAATGATGACCAAAGTCAGGGAATCAAGAAAAGATATTTAATTGTTCTGCTTTTTAACAATCAAGTTTTGGATTGTGCCACTCAGGTTTTGTCTTGCAATCATTTCATACAAGTGAAAAGGCACGTGCTTGTTATCTCAAAAGTTGATTTGTGGTACCACAGTGGTGGCTCAGTGGCTAAGATGCTGAGCTTGTCGATTGAAAGGTCGGCCGTTCAACGGTTCGAATCCCCAGTGCTGCGTAACAGGCTGAGCTCCCGTTACTTGTCCCAGCTTCTGTCAACCTAGCAGTTCGAAAGCACGTAAAAAATGCAAGTAGAAAAATAGGGACTACCTTGGTGAGAAGGGAACAGCGTTCCGTCTGCCTTTGGCATTGAATCATGCCGGCCACATGACCACGGAGACGTCTTCGGACAGCGCTGGCTCTTCGGCTTTGAAACGGAGATGAGCACTGCCCCCTAGAGTCGGGAACGACTAGCACATATGTGCGTGGGGAACCTTTACCTTTACCTTTTACCACACCATTCTGTTGCTTCTAATAATTGGGACGACAAAAACAAAAAAACATGATTTGCCAAGTGAATTCATTCTTTGGGTAAGTGGTGGCAGAATTCTTTCTCTTGTTGTATAAGTCTTCCACTAGATGTCCCTAGTTATCTAGAAGGATTGACTTGGAAGGACTGGCTGCTAGCCGCACCACAGAAGTTTTACTTTTCTTTTTCAAAAAACTGGTAATGGTAGAAAAAAATGTGAATGTATTATTTGTATACTATCTGTCATTCTACAGTACTCCTCTTTACGCAATTTAAAATTTAAGATGCATTAAAAATTAAAAGATATAAAACAGAGATCGTAAATAATGGAGTGATAACATTGGGAGATGTTACTTGCCAAGGTGCATAAAAATGGTTTCATTCAATGCTATTATTCTAAACCTAATAATCCCCACTTAGGAGGTCATGTCCATTCAATTAATATAAAGTTGTCCCGAATGTTAACTCTAAACCTTTTAGCTGGTCTTGTTATCTTTGAAAAGGATGGAAAGAGACTCTGTGGCTATTTAATGCAAACAAATAGTAAGAATTGGGCCATGTCTGTTTTCTGTATTCTTCTTTTATACTTCTGTAGATTCCAATTTTTAGCAGGGGAACCTGGAAACTTAAACCCTGTGATGCTGGATTGTGTCAGGACAACAAAAACATCACTGTAAAACAGATTCACCCCTCCCTTCAACTTGTCTCAATTAACACAAAACAAAAAATCAGAGTTTTGGAGGAAAAATTTGGATAATTTCTTTTCCAATTTAAACTTCTAACCGCTGATGCTTGGTGACGTTTAAACTGTAGTGTTAGGATTTTATTTTATATTCTCATAGTTACAAATCTAATTTTGGCTTTCCAGAAGTGATCTCTTGTTGGCTCTGGAGATTCCCCCCTAGAAAATGTATTTTGAAAAACGATTTAGCTTCAAGATGGATCTCTCCTGAACTTTCTATGAAGCATCATGTGATGTCTTATACTAGGGTGCTGTCTTCATTGTAAGTAACATTTTGTGTGGTGGCAGTGAGTTGAGTTTCTTCTCTGGGTTTTCAGCTAGTAGTTGACGTTTCCTTAATAATGATGGATAGCTAAATTTTTTATGGTTGATGCTAATAGTAACCAAATTTGTTCCGTCTGCGTAGACTGGAGAGACTCCCTGTATGTTCAGTGATAGAGACAGAAGTCTGTGCTTTCTAGCTTTCTGAGAAGAGAGAGAATTGTCCAATTACAGTAGATGCTATTTATTTTTGAGTGATTGATGCTGTTTTAAAAATTGAACACCCTATTGAGGTCCTCTCTGATTTCCCATGCTCAGCTTTTAATGAATTAGTAAGTCAACTGTTTACAGAAAACTTCCCCACATCATTTCTGATCCCCTCAACATATTTCCCTGTAGGGTTTCCTATCATTTAGAAGTGAAACATTTCAGTGGAATGAATTCTGAGCCAAATGGCTCCCACTGGTTCTAAACAGACATATTTTTCGAAAAGGATTGCATCTTTTTATTCCTTGGAGTTTGGGCCAAGGAAGAAATCTCGCCATCCTCTTATTGGCAAAGTGGATAAGCAGAAAGCTATTTTAGAACAGAGTACATCACGCAAAGGTTTCTCGGATATCTAACTGGCCCCAAATCTAACCCCAATTTCAGAATCCTACATTTATGTCTTATCAGAAATACAACACTCTCTTATCAGTAATGAAACACTCACAGTTCATTTTAATGCCACTGCGTGTCAGTGTGTGGATGAGAGAAATTTAAGCAAGACAGTTTATTAAAGGGCCAGAAAAAAGTCTTGGTGAATCTGGAAGTTACAGGTCCTGACAACTGGACTTCTTTCCTTTTTGTTTTGAAGCATTTCCCTGCTTTTCTTTTTCTCAAACCAAAAAGAAAACTCCCAATTGCCATGACTCAACTTCCAGACAGCTCCACCTGGAGAACTGATGAGAAACTTCATCAACAAACTTGGTGAATATTGTAAATTAATGAAAGGAAAGAAAGGTCTGAACCAATGGTGAAATCCAATTTTTTTTACTACTAGTTCTGTGGGTGTGGCTTGGGCGTGGTGTGGGTTGGTGGGCATGGCACGGGAAAGATACTGCAAAATCTCCATTTCCACCTCACTCCAGGGGAAGGATGCTGCAAAATCTCCATTCCCACCCCACTCTGGGGCCAGCCAGAGGTGGTATTTACCGGTTCTCTGAACTACTCAACATTTCCACTACCGGTTCTTTAGAACCTGTCAGGACCTGCTGGATTTCACCCCTGCTCTAAACTGTGCAACCAACTCTTTGTGGTAAGACCTACTCAATAATATGTGGGAAAGGAGCAGTTTTGGGAGCAACGTATTGATCTGTCTTAATTACATTGGCCTTGCTCTGACAACTGTCAAACTTGTCTCGAGGACACATACCAGATGGGGATCTCAAAAAAAAATGATTTTTGCTGTTGTACAAGTTGGATTTCGGCAGCACTTAGGCACCAACATTTTAAAAAATCCCACTGCCATGGGTTATTCAAGGTAACGCCATATAGGGGAAGGGAGGGGCTTAGTTTTAAATACAAAACAAATGTAATTGAGGAAGGGAGGCGGAATTGGGCTGTAGATAGGAGGAGCAGACAGGATTTATTGCTCTGGTGGGGATCTTGTTAAAAGGATAGAAAGCAGTTGCTCAACTCCATCATTGCTTCACTGGCGAGGCAGCTCCCGTTGCCGCTGCTGAAGCTCCACATTCAAAGACGGCCAGGGGGAAAAAAAAATGCTTTCTATTTTGCCTCCTTTGTGAATGTTGAAAAATGGGAGGAAAAGCCATA